CATAACTGCTATGCTATTAACCCTAGAGGTCATATGATTTTTTAAAGATTAGATATAAAAAGTTATTAATTAAGTTAACTTATAGTGTTATATAAATTAACCAATCAAATCTAATAATCTTGTGTAATCCTGAAAAATTTTAAGGAACTCTGAAAAACTTTATAATATATACAAGTATATTTTTTTAAAATAATACAATACTTCAAATTTTTACTATAATAGATAAATAATTTTATTTATAATATTATAAAATTTTTTTATTGATTATTAAAAAATAAAAAGTTTTATTAGTAATATATATCAATTTTAGATGAAAAATTTAAAATACCATACATTCTATATAAAAATGATCTACATTACCCCTACCCTTAATAAAAACAATAAAATTTGAAAACCTTAAGATTTTAATGAAGACGATCAGTGAAATAGAAGTGCAGATGTAATTTAGTAACTTCTCGTTACTATAGTTAAACTACATTAAATTACAAAGTAATTTAAGTCATTATTATCCATCACTTTTAGTTATGGCAAGTTACACCTGCACCTCACAGCGAACTTAAAATATATGCATATTTTCAAAAAGATGCGGAAGTTAATGTTGATTTTTTTTTAATTTGGCTCACAGAATTTATGGCATATTTTAAACAATCGCAGAATTTAGCAGAATTTATAGTATAAATAGAGCATAATTTCGCATAATTGGGTTTGTGAAGTAGGCAGAATTTGAATTCTGTCTAGAGATGGGAAAATGCGCATATTATAATAACATGCGCACGAATGCTTCATGCGCATGATATCGCATGATAAAAAAAAAGGGGAAAAAGGAAAAAACGATCGAGAGGAGAGAAATCTTGATGAGATAAAATGAGCATAAACCCCATCTCTAGTTCTGTCGCAGCAGAAAATCAGAACCCTAGTCAAATCTCATGATAATTTTATAAAAAAATTCAAATGCTTATATTTTTTTAAATATTTAACTAATATTAATGATTTTACTGTCATTAGAATTAGAAAAATCTGCTTTACAACTTTATTTAAACTCTTAAAAACAATTAACTTAGTACTAAACTTGTAATTTAAAGTACATCAAATTTATATATAATTTCAAAATAGTACGCCCTATCTCTTAAAATTCCCAAAATGCGTAACATATTTATTTCCATATTTTCTTTAATTGATTTTAATCAAAATTGGGTTTTTCTACCGACTTGCTCACAACAATCTTTGATAGCCTTTCGGGAATCCCTAGTATGTCGATGTATTTTGAAGTGTACATGTTTTTTGGGTGCTTTTGCAAGACAAGTGGTGATGTCTTGATGATTTTATCAGCAACTAAAAATTCATTTTTAATTTCACTCGTGTCATTTGGATTTTGTAACATATCATACCATTCCTTGAATTTCTCGTAAACCTCATGAGCAACAGGTCGTTTCTTTGGATCTTCATCCATGCATTTACTTCCCAATTCAATATAACATTTAGGAGTCCCATGAGCAAATTCCGGTCGCAATCCACAACAAATTTTTAAAGTGAGACTAATATTAAATTCATTACAATCAAAAGGACTTTTTCCAGTTGATATTTCTGCCATAACAACGCCCAACCCATAAATATCAGATGATTGTGTAAAATGTTTTTGTGCTCCGCATAAAATTAGTGGATCAACATAGGGCAGGACACCAAAAATTCCTTTTTCTGGCATACTTTCATTTTTAGTTCTAGAAAATCCTAGATCTGAGACATAAGAACTTCCTTTATTTTGGAGAATGTTGCCACTATGAAAATCACAATGAACGTATCCAGCAGTATGAATTCTATATAAATCAAGTGAAATATCCATGAGTTGTTTTAATTTAAACTTCCATGTAAGCTCATGAAAGTTTGTTCTCAAAAATGTATTAAGACTTCCGCCATCTGCATATTGAAATACTATATAGAATTCGTTGGATGCATTTCGTGTTATTCCATAAATTTCAAGTCCTCTGCCAGGCAATATACATTTAATGCAATTTTTAAACTTATAAATTAATCAATGTGAATAAATTAGTACCATAAACGACTATATAAGCAAGTCATACAATAAAGAATCGTTAACATACTTCATTCAAAAAATCAATAGGGTTTCTTTTGGTGTCGGGTAAGGTCTTGAGTGCAACTTTATATAATTCTTCACGCGTTCTTATATAATTGTAATCTATACCATCAATTTTTCGTATGCCATCTAGCCAGGTTGCTGAATATACGGTGCTGAATCCCCCACGACCGATTTCTACAACATTAACTAATCTATCAAATGGAACCCATTCAATCATATACTCATATGCAGTGGTTTTAAGTTGAAATTCCTTAATGCAATTATCAATCTCAAAATTTCCACTTGTCCATTTTTGAGTTGTAATGTCAGGGTCACATGTCAGACACCATGCCTTATTAGTATTATATTCGTTGCAATGCTTACATTTCCCAAAAACAGCATCTCTTTATGATCATAAATAAAAAATAATATATTGTATGGTTTTCATATAATTAGCAACTTTGTATAATCTTAGAGAATTTAATGTTTTAATGTATATTTTATATTTACCGACTAAATTAACACAGGTTTTAATGTATATGATAATAAATTTGCTTATTTAAAATATATGGATTAATAAAATATTTCTGTACTTACGCACTAAATCGACACGAATTAAATATTGGTTATTTCGGTTACTAAATCAACAAATAGATTAATAATAATTTTGATACTTACGCGCTAAAATACGAGTGAAATATACATGAATTAAATATTGTTGAATGAATGTATATAAACAACAATTAAAATGCACATATTAATAAATATTCCATATACTTACAAACTAAATATGCAAAGAATATGATGTTAATTATCTTATATAGGAAATATGGATAGTAAATATTTTGGTAATATGTCAAATTTAAATAAATCCAGTGTCGTAAATAATGGGCTTATGGAACGAATAGAATGACCTTATTTGGCTACTCCATTAAGTTCATGGAATACGAGTCCAAATAGTATGTCATATGAGCACATTATATCCAATCAAATTACAGTCTCAAAGTATACTAAAATCGTTTAAAATCTTTAGATTTAACTGACCAAATTTGATAAAAATTTTTAGTTTAAATTTTATACTGTATTTGCGCGTAATAACGCACATGCGCGTTATTCTGAGTACCTGTATCATTTTAGGACGCACATGTGCGACATTTTTGATGATATAAAATATTTGGTAAAAAAAATATAATAAGCAGAAATCGTACCAAAAATTATCCATTCAAATTCGATAAAGAAATTTTATTTAAAGTCTTTAAACTTACAGAATTTAAATAAAATGTTTTATTGAATTTATGTCAAGATGTCTTCAATTGAAATTTTAAATAAGTATCTTCTATAATTTAATGACCTATTTGGACTTATTCTCCAATTAAATTTAATTCGATCATTTTAATTGACGGCACTGGATGACTTTTGTAGAAATCAAAATTTTGAGATTCAATAAAATATTTCAACATTTGATCGAGACTCAAATTTTGATTCGATTTGAGAAGTACTCATCCATTTGGACCATTTTCATTCATCATCCTCAAAAAGATTGATTTAAACACTGTATGGAATGTTCTTTATACTTACAGACTAAATTAATACAAATAAATATAATTATATCATTAAATATATTAAATTGTCAATTAAATACGTACAGTAGATCAATAAATGATCTTTATACTTACAAACTAAATTAACGTGAGGAATAAATTTAATAGATGAATTGCTGATTTTTAATTATAAATTTTCTTTAAATTAATTGTACTCACCGACTAAATTGACATTGAATTATTGTTTAACGGTAAATATATATGTTAATTTAAATTCGTAGATCTTCATATGACCATTCATATTAATACTTACTCACTAATTAGATCGCATATAAATGGTTAAATACTATAACATAACCATTTGCTGATTTTAAATATATGACTTCTATACTTACAAACTAATCAACATGAACGAGATATTTAATTAATTGCTAACTTTAAATAAGTGCTGTATATATTCAATTTCCTTTATTAATACTTACTCACTGAATGCATCGTTTAACAGTTAACATAAATTATATTGAATAAACTTGCGATTCATACAGATGAGTAATTAATATAAGATTTATATACTCACAGACTAAATATTATCTCAAATGTTTCAGTAAATTTTTTAAATAGTAAATACTTAGATTAATAAATCTAATGAATTAAAATGAAATCAGATTAAAATGAAATGAATGATAGTGCCAAATAGACTAGCCACCAAAAAATACCAAAATATTAGGTGCATTTTTTTAGAATGATTTTAAAATTTTATAATAGGAGTTAAATAGAAATCCCTCATTTCATTTAATCCGGTTTCATTATGATCCACGGCAATAAATGGTTTAACTCACGTACTAATTAAAAAAAATTAAATTAATAAATAAATATTTAGAAACATGAATTTGTGATCTTAAAATACTTACTCACTAAATTGCATAAACAAATATAAGTATGAATTAAACACAAAACCGTATTTTTTAATGGCATGCAATAATTAAAAAACTTACAGTCCAAGTAGGTCTCTAGCTTTTTCTTTATCTTTTAGTACTCCAATTCCGAACAGATAACAAATAAATGTTTTATGCATTCCTTTAGTGTTACTCATGCTAGCGGACTTTTGATAATAATCAAATGCTTTACGTTTATTAATTTCAACGCCAATTCCCAGATGATAACAAATGCCAACTTGAAAATTTCCATCAGAGTCTCCCATCTTTGCAGATTCTTGGTAGTGAGCAAATGCTTCACCTTCATTTTTTTCAATCTCAATTCCATATTCGTGACAATACCCGTGCCAAAATACTTTACTAGAATCCTCAGTATTAATACAAATTTGGCAATTAAAGTCTGATTCGTTTAAGTTAGCTGGTTTTACTGGTAGGTTTTTTGGTTCCATTTTACTAGACATATTGGCAATTTCCAAGATTCCACTTTTAGCAAATTTTAAGCACCATTCAAATGCTTTCTTTTGGTTTTTGTCAACACCAATACCGTTTTTATAACATCTTCCGATGTGAAATTGTCCCCAAGGATTCTGTCTTCTTGTAGACATTAAATACCAGCTATACGCCTTTTTTTCATCTTTGGGAGTACCTTTGCCGTTTTCATAGCACATTCCAAGACTATTTTGACCATTTGGATTTCCTCTTTTAGCAGACTCAAAGTAATACCGAAATGCTTTACTTATGTCCTTTTCTATTCCCAAGCCATAATAATAATAATATCCAAGATAGAATTGTGCAATACTAAGTTCGCTTTTTTTTGCATTTTCTTCTACATTAAGGAATGTTCGAAATGCAATTTCTCTATTTATACTTGTTCCAATTCCGCCATGAAAAAATCTTCCGAGTAGGCATATATGCTTTGAATTTGTTTTGCTATTTAATAACCAAACAAAAGTATTTATCGGTGTTTGACGATTTATTGTAATATATTTTTCAATATTTTTGTTAACATCCATTTCGCTAAAGCCTTCATTATGTAATTTGGAAAAAACTAAAAACAATAAATCCGCAATCCTGGTCATATTTCGAGCCTTATCTGCTTGAGTACTGCTGAAGTTTTCGATAACGCATTGTTTGCTTGAATCTTTCTCCTGATATTCTATGTTTCAACATAAGCTTTAGCATTTGTACAATGAAATTTAGTGAAACTCATAAATTTATCACCATCATACCTTTGCTGATAGCAATGTATTCTTCAAAAAAAAAAAAAAAATTTATGATAGTCATTTAGGAAATTAACATGTTTATTATTATAATACACTCTAACATACCGTCTGTATCATGACATCTTAAAGATTCAGAAGAATCCATTATATTATTCACCTTTTCGAACCCAAAATCTATGAAACAATTTCGTTAGACCAGTTTATAAATTAAAATTTGTTCAAATTATAGTAGCACATACCATTCGAATCAGTATCGAGTAACTTTTCGATATTACCGAATTCGTGTTCTGTAATATTAAATAATTTATGTTATTTTGTGAATTAAAATCAAAATCTATTATTCTGCTTTTCAAACTACTTTGGTCAACGAATTTCATGCATCAACAAATGGGAATTGAAAATTTGAATACAGCTGACTCTTGATATAACGAAATCAAAATTTAAAAATTTCTCAATAGTTCGGTATAGAAAGTGCAAAGGGTCCTTAGGGAATATAGTAATTTTTCTAGAACCGTCAGTTCGTTATATAAAGAGTCGACTGTATAGAAAAATGAATTTTTTAAGCCAATTTTCACACAGTGTTCAAGTCTAGATATTTATTTCTACACTAATAGATGTTATGCTGATCTTTGGAAAAGAAATTTTATGAGTGATCACCTGATAATCATAGTAATTTGAAAAGCGAGCAATTAGCATCTATTATTTAAGCCTAACATCTCTATAGCTAGAGCTGTAAATTTAATAAAAGAATGGATATATTTACCTGATACATCATCTAACATTAATAACATAAAAATAATAATATGGTCAGTTAATTAAGCATATTGCAGCTAAGTTTTTTTACAGCTGATTTCAAAAAACTTGGAAAACAACTTCATATAGGAATTTGGAAATTCTGTTAGCAAAAATTAAAGATCCGATTAGAGCACTCGGAAATCGTTAATTCGTGTGGTATAGTGATCTGCAACTTTTTGAAAATAACTGTAATTAATGTAGTTTATATGATCATTATTTACCTTTTATAAAATTACTCGGCTCTGTAAGGTTCTGAAAAGAGTAAATCCTAGATTTTAGAAAATTTCCTTGGCCTTCTCCAGATGACAAAACTTCTGGAATTTGAATTTCGGCTCTTATAAAATTTCCTGGACCTTCTCCAGATGACAAAACTTCTGGAATTTGAATTTCGGCTTTTATAAAATTTCCTGGACCTTCTCCAGATGACAAAACTTCTGGAATTTGAGCTTCTGCTCTTATAAAATTTCCTGGGCCTTCACCAGATTCTGGAAAATGGATTTGTGCTTTAATAAAATTTTCTGGATCTTCGTAAGAAATTTTTATTTTGTCATCCATCGTATTGTCATTTGTCGTACTGTCAGAAAAGCTTTTATACAATGAATACAATTTTCTAAAAACTGTGCTGGATTCTGGTCGTTTTTCTGTACAGCATCCCAACATTGTTTCATCAATTCCGCATATTCAAGTGGAGTTCCATATGCAATTTCTGGTCGAAGCCCAATGAGGATAGCATTTACAAGGAAAATATCATGCATTTGACCATAAAATGGTGAAATTCCTGTGGAAATCATCCACATAATAATTCCTAAGCTGTAGACATCAGATTTTACAGTGTAGTGATTGGGTTTATTACATAATACTTCAGGAGCAATATATGGAATGCATCCATAAACACTGTTTAAAGCTTTATCTTCTGGACCACAAAAACCCAAATCACTTATTCTTATAAGATGTTCATAAAATAAAATATTTCCAGGATGCAAATCTCTGTGAACCGATTTCGTATTATGTATTGCAGATAAGCAATGAGATATTTTATAAGCAATTTGGTAACGTTCTTTCCATCCAATGGTTGAATTGTTTTTTATTAAAAATTCCTGCAAATTAAAATCCATAACATCCAAAACCAATGAAAATTCTCCAGAATCTTTATCTTTAGTCAATCCAAAACATCTAACAACGTTAGTTGCAATTTTATCGATAGTAAAATGTGATATAATCTGAAAATTTTGTATAAATTATTTTAAAGGATGAACCTAAATAAATTAAACAATTTAATGCACTACTTACCTCATTAAGCCAATTACTGGTCGATTTGTTTGATTTTTTTAGCTTTTTGAGAATAACATTATGGTTGCTAATTCTTTCTAAAACCTTTTCATTACCATTCCATGTATCAAAAGGGCCATCCGTCCAAACTGCCTTATATATTTCAGCATAACTACCTTTCGCTATATAATTTGGATTTACTTTAAGCTTTTCGTTAGGAATGTATTCAATTATTAAATTTGGCCCTATTGCACGTTCTTGGGCCTTTTTAATCTCATCGTCAATTTTATCGTTGTTAGTCCATTCTACATAATTTTGTTGTAGTTTTAGGTAATTTCTAATGCAGAATTCACAATATAGCATAGCGCGAGTCTCACTCTTGCAATCCTTGCATTGACGCTTTTCACCATCTTTGTAGATGACACTTAGATTATCAAATCTTTTTTGAAGCATATTGAATAAATATTGTCTTTCATGTTCTTCAAGTTTATCGTTATTAAAAAATTGTGTTTTGAAAAATTCATATTTTTGCTGATTTGTTCTGTATATGCTTGAAGACATTGACCATGCAGTATCATAAAAATAGAATCTTAATAGCATTTGTAATAAACATTGTCTTTCATTATCGTTAAGGTTTTTATAATTAATGAATCCTGTTTTAAGGAATGCGTATCTTTGTTGATTCGATCCGTAAATGCTTGTATTCATTGATTGTATAGTATCATAAAAATAATCTTTTAATAACATGTTTAATAAATATTGCCTTTCATTTTCATTAATACTTTCATTCTTAATAAATTCTTCTTTAGGAAATTCATATTTATGTTTATCTGCTTTATTTGCACCCAGTGATTGCATAGTACTATAAAAATACTTTTTTAGAAACTTTTCATCGATGTCGTTTAATCTAATAAAAATAAAGAAATATTCTATTATCTATAAATTTTATGTAAAATAACAATTTATTGTTCTCATTACCCTCCATTGCCAGCTTTTCTGAATAGTTCACTCTCTTGTGTAGAGTTTTATAGTTCAAATTAAATATAACTTTAGTCAAAGATTATTAAATATTTAATTTATAAAACGGATTAAATCTATTATAGGTGACCAATCATTGGGTATGACAAATAAGCATTTACTATATATGCTATATATAAATGTTTATTTGTCACACACCATGATTGGGAAATGAAAGAAGTCACCGTCATAGATTTAATCCTATAAAACATGAACATAAATCTACCTAATTTCTTTAATAGATCAATCGCTTCTTGATGATTATTTTTAACCGCTGCTCTTAAATACTCTAAACCAAGTTCTTTATTTTGTTTCACATGAAGGTTTCCGTTTGCATAAATATCACCCAAATAATACATAGCATCAGCATTTTTATTATCAGCAGCCAATTTAAAATAATGTAAAATTTGGTTATGATTATCCTCTCTTGTAGCTTCATCATCATCTTTTTTAAGATCAGAAAGTAATGCAATAGCATAATGACATTGAGCAATAGTATGATTATTATCAGCAGCTTCTTTAAAGAGTTGTTTTGCCCGTTTTATATCTTTTTTGATA